CTACTTAAGAGACTGAGGTAGTACAATCAGAAGCTTAAAGCCAGCCAGGATAACATAGAGAGACCTTGAGAAGAAAGAAATAGGAGCTTCCAAATTGTAAAATTGTTGCTTTTGGCATAGAAGAAAAGTGTCAAAGAACATGTATCATTCCGTTCCTGACATCATATTCATCATTGTCTCTTGAGTTGCTCTTCTTTAATAAAAAGAAGAAAGAATTCCCATATGATGAACAATATGTTTTATATTTATAACTATAAACATAAAAGCTTCAAAAAAGTAAATGTTTCAATGAGTTAATTGTACTTTGTGTTTAAGATACTTTTTTAAAAAAATTATTCATTTATGTGTTTGGTACAGCGTCTTACTGTGCAGCTCAGACTTGTAGTGATCCTCCTGTTTTCATTCTCCAAGCACTTGGATTACAGGCATGCACCACCATGTCTCAGTGGCTGGCTAAGTGCACCCTGGAGATCAAACAAAGAAACTCTTAAAACCAAAAGTTCATTTTAACAGAAAAAATAATGGTTCATCTCAGAATTTCTTAAATTAAGATTAAAATAGCAAGGCCTTGTGGTGCATATCTGTGGTGCAAGCATTCAGGAGGCTGAGATAGGAGGATAGCTATGAGTTCAAGGCCTCTCTAGGCTACATACTGAATTCAAATGCAGATTAAGTTACAGAGCAATACTTTGTCTCAAAACAAAAAGCTGAAATAAAGGAGGAGAAAATTGCAATAATAGGCGTTTAGAATACTTGTTTTTCTGATTCTCTGATGGAACTTCCACTCTAATTTCTCTTATTAAGAGGCTTTTATAAATATTTAGTTGCATCCCCTCCACCCACATCCCCAATGCCATTTCTCCAGTTACTCAGCAACTTACATCTTATTTTAAAATGTTGTTTTTCTTAAAGAAAAAATTGTTTTATAATCATTATGCCTTTTAATATAATACCTCCAAATAATATTTTGTGTAAATATTGTATTTGTACTGGTAAATTGGGTGGGATTTTTTTTTTTTTTTTGCTCTAAACCTACATGGTATGTTTCTCAAAAACAAGTTGGTCAACAGCTATTGAATTATTAACCACCTGATGCAATTAATGCCTTTAGAGGAATGCTACTGGACTTGCTTCCATTCAATGATTCTTCCACATGAAGTCATAATGAAAGGGAGCTTCCTGTGATTCAGGCTTCACTTTGGAACTAAATTAGCCAGTACCTTGTTTTTAGATTTCTCACTGTCCAGAGCTGTGATGAAGTAATTCTTGTTATTTCAGCTACACTGTGTGGTTTTTTGCTATCACATCCTGAGCTTACTGACACAACTTCCCATTTTTTTTCCAGTTATCCACCTCTTCTATAAAAGTCTGTCAATAGCGACCATGGCGAGGGAACATGGCTGAATCCGGACCAAAGTTGGTGCTGTTCGTGTGTCCAGGTAACATTTGCCGATCGCCCATTGCAGAAGCAGTATTCAGAAAACTTGTAACTGATCAAAACATTTCAGATAACTGGGCCATTGACAGCGGTGCTGTTTCTGACTGGAATGTGGGCCAGGCTCCAGTCCCAAGAGCTGTGAGCTGCCTAAGAAATCATGGCGTTAGTACACACCATAAGGCAAGACAGGTCACCAAACAGGACTTCGCAACATTCGACTATATCCTGTGTATGGATGAAAGCAATCTGAAAGATTTGAATAGAAAAAGTAATCAAGTTAAAAACTGCAAAGCTAAAATTGAACTGCTTGGGAGCTATCATCCACAGAAACAGCTCATCATTGAAGATCCCTCTTACGGGAACCAGTCTGACTTCGAGCTGGTATACCAGCAGTGCCTCAGGTGTTGCAGAGCCTTCCTGGAGAAGGCCTGCTAGGGCTGGCCAGGCCCCGCTGTGGTCTGCAGTCATCCAATCCAGCTCTGCCCTTGCCTGTGCTCAAGCCCCAGTCCCCACCTGTTTCTCCACCTGACTTTACTGTTTCCTTTTTAAAAAATAATTGTAGGTGCAGATCTGCTGTATTTGCAGAAGAATAAATAAATATGCTTGATTTGGTATTAAAGAGTGTAATAAATATTCTTAGACTAGTTGAACATCCCACTTCATCCTGTTTACAGAGCAGTGAAACACTCACATACAGAATAGCAACATAGAGCACAGTGGAGCAAGAATGACCCCAAGGCGCGTGTCAGCCTTGTAGCCCAGGAAGACCTGGACAGTTTGCGCTCCTCAAGGGAGGGTGTGGACGCTGCCCTCCCCTCTGCTGTGAGCCTCTCCACCTGGGCCCCACCCGCGTCACAGCAGCCCATCCACAGCAGCTCTTCACCGACATCAACAGTGTTTTAGCTCATGCACATTCATGGTGCACAGTGTATTCGTGTGACCAGAAAGTGCAGTGAATGGCTCTGGAGAGGAAGGCACCATGAACTCCCTGCAGAAGCTACCCTCTTGCTTTGCACATGCTTGTCCCATTGGTCCTGTCACTTCTGCAGCTCTGAAGTCATTTTTCCCGCATATCTGTAGTCGGGCTGTACTGGCTGCCTTAATGTCCTGAATCAATGGAAAATGTTTTCAGAGTCATTTTGACTTGGGGGTGAACCAGTTGGGGGTGAACCAGTGGTCACAGGGTACCAGGCTGGGTATGTAAGGTAGATAAGGACACACTCCTGGCTCTAGGAGTTGCCTTTACATTGGATGACACTCAGTGGCAGTGTCACTGTAGCTTTGATCACATTTTATAAGGACATGAAAGAGGGTTTCCAGAACTGCTTCAGAAAGGGGCAGGACTTTGGGAGAAGAGTGTTTGAAGCTATAGAGAGTATTTTTAAGGAGATTCATGGAAGTATGTCTTACTGTAATTTTTTCTTTAAACATTCACTGTATTTTGATCATACCTCCTTTATTTAAGATACAAAAGGTATTAGTAGAATTGTTGGTTTAATACCTGTTGGTATTGTCCAGTTCATTTAATGAGGAGATCTTCTTATTTGCTCCCATTTAAACCACTTTCCTCTAAACTTTAATTCTGTTCAAAGAGAACATTTGTAAAAAGGTAGCTTACGAGCAGTTGAGGGGTGTAGCAGTTTTACACACACATGTAATGTTTGTCAAATCCAAATTGGCTTAGGTATGAACAAGGAAGATAAAAAGTTGGAAAGTCTATTACATTTGTATCCTTAAATATTGATTTGTTAGTAGGAAAATTATAGGCAAATATAGGTGATTTCATTCTCAAATTCAATGGATATCAGAAAAGGTGACTTTCAAAGGAAACTGGGATGCTACAAAACTACAACTGATACAAATCTTGCATCTTCCTCATTTCTTGTTGTCAAATAAAGAAGTATGTGAGAAAAAAAAAAGTTTGTCAAGTTAAAACACTTATCTTACCACTTTTCATAGATCTGCCTACATTTTATTTGATTCATCATGTTTATTTTGGTCTCTCTAAGGATTGATATGATGTTATTGTGTTACTTATTTTCCCATTTCTGGGACAAAATACGTGATACTGGTAACTTAAATGAAGAAAGCTTTATCTTGCCTTGTATGCCAAGGGGATCCAGTCTATGTTCAGACGATTCCAGGTAAACAATGGCATGACACAACAGGATGGCACAGGAAAGTTGTCTACTGGTTTGTAGACAAGAGGGCAAGAGAGATGTAAACACTTTGGGACAAGAGTATGACCCACTGGCTCATCCCTTCCAAACATCCAAGAGTGATATTTTAGAGAACATTTCAGATATAGACCATATCATTCTTGACCCCAAAAGGCTTATGTCCATTTCATGGTACTAAATGTATTCAATCCAATCCTAAGAGTCACCAAAGTCTTCAAAGTTTCAGAAGTGTGGAGACATCCATGTCTGAAGTATGCCTTGAGACCTAAGATAAACCCTTATCTATGAGTCCCTCTAAAAGTCACAAAGAGAATTAAGCATTTCCTAGCATAAAACAGCACAAGATATACCTGAAAATTTAAAACAAGGAAAAGGGAGCTAGATTGGAATGGGAACAAGTTAAGACTGAAACCCAGCAAGGCAAATATTAAATCCTATAGCTGCATGTTCAACCCAGGAGAGAGTGTACCGAGATGTGAGCTCAACAGGGTGTAAACAGCCATGTCCCTTTTGCTACTGTCTTGGGCTACCTTCTCACACTACCTGGAGCATTCTCAAAACTCTTTTCTTTTTCATCTCCAATTTCCTGGCATCTCCAGAGCATGTTTATGGTTGCTCTTACAGCTTTACACTTTTCCCTCTTATGGGATACTATCAAGGATTGTCACCCTGTCACACAATTTTTTCTGGCTTCCAAAATCTTCCTAAAACTTAGTGGAAGACTCCATGGCATCATGACTCTTACATTCTGAATATCTGAAATACCAGCACTACTTCCAAGACACCAAAGTTAGCAATCAGGTTGAGCAGTGGCTAAGACTCACTTGGCCTGACTATAGGAGACTCTGAGTGCCTGAATGGTTTAATTTAGGGATACACTTTCCTGGGTAACATGAATCAGAAGACATGCCAGGCATTCACTTTTCAAAAGAAAAATTTGTAATCTTCTTCCCTCTAAGCCTGTGATGGTTAGAATTTTGCTGATTTTTGACATGCCTTTAAGGCATCTCTATTCTGTGTGCAAAGCACTTGGCTTCTTTTTAATGTGATTATTTTCAGGACTGGTACGCTTTTTTCCTCAAATTTCATTCCTAGCAACACAGCAAAGTTTTCAAGTCATTCATCTCTGCTAATTGCTCCTGATTTTCGGAGTTTGGGCCAAAAGATGTAAGCAATACATGCCACAGCCTGAACATTGGGCCACATTGAACTTACTTGACCAGATTAATCAGTTTGCTGCCCTTCATCTCAGTCCCCCACAAAGTC